CTTCCTAATAATTTTCCCTTTTATTTACAGGATATGACATTTTTGGTTCTGAAAAAGAAATTCGAGGGCATTTAAAGTCTATGGAATTTGAGTATGAATGCGGGAATTTTGCCAGTTCAACTGGAAAGCAAGTCTCTTTTGTAAGAGTAACCAATCTGTCTGATGTAGTGAAGAAATCTGTTAACCAACTGAATGAAAGTGGCTTTTTTGTGGAAAAGAGCAACATCCCAAAAAATTTGCTGTGGGTACTTCTCATGGGGGACAAGGGAAGGAAATCAACAAAGTTACTGTTGCAATTTCTCAATTGCAAAGAACAACACTCCATTCACACAGCCCGCCTGCTGGCAATATTCGAAGGTGACAAGGACAACCACCAATGCATCCAAAAGGTTTTGGTCCTGTTATCGAGGAAACAAAGAAAGTATTATCAAACATTACTGAACTGGACCTTAAGGTAGACCTTACAAAAATCACAAGTCCAAGTCAGCAGCCCAATTTTGACATCAGAGGGATGGCAAATTGGCCTAATGAGCTTCAAGAGTTGTTCCGAAACTGCGAAAATGAGTATCACAGCCAAAGATGTTTGTTATGCCAGAAAACAACCTACCGGTATTTCAAATCACATTCCTCCAACTGTGATGCCAACCAGTCATCCAGTGCAATGTATAGCATTTCAGAGTTCTGGCTCAGTCTTGGAGGGGACTGGGAGTTCATAGCAAGGTTATTGGGTTTAACAGGACCCAATGGAACTTTCTTTTGTAACTTCTGTCATGCTCAACTTAAAGATCTTGAGAAGGGGAAGCCTCGCACGCCATGGTTGTTGCAGCGAGGTGCCACTGCTTAAGTCACACATGTACCAAAAAGTTTCCCGTGCGTAGTTTTGAGTCAATCTTGTCTGATAATGACAGATTTGTGAAAGGTGGTTCTGTAAAGTCAAAAGCCAACCAATTCCACAATTGTGAGAGCACTCCAGTCTATCAAGCAACTGGACCAGTTATTGACTCAGTGTCATGCATGCCCCTCCATTTGTCTCTGGGACTTGGAAAGCAGGCACTTGAGCTGGTTGAAAGTGAAGCCATTTCACTGGATAATACCATTAAAGAGGCAAATGGAGAGGCATCCTCAGAACTGGTTGAGGCATTCAAGAAACGGGAGGAACTGATCTTGGAGTGTGCCAATCTAGAGGAATTGTTGGAGGATGACAATAAAGCCATTAATTCCACTGAAGAAAAGCTTCAGAGGTTTCTTGCTGAGACAGCTCCCTATCATCAAAAGGAAGGGCGAAGGTACAATGTGCAGAATTAAATAACAAATGTCATCTGAAAAATAAAAAGATATAAAAGAAACCTTGTCAGAAACATATTATTAACATATTCCCCCTATGTAAGTGGTTTGCAGTGCCATTAATAAAAATAAAATATATCATTAACCTCACTTTCTAAGTCCATATGTAATTACAGATCATAATTTTTTTCCCTCACTTCACGCCCTGCACACTTTGTGCTTGGGCCATAATACATGGTCCGCAATTCTCAATCTTGGTAAATAAACGGTATTTATCTTTTGTCTGATGAAATTATGACTGAAGTTGTGCCATAAGAAAAAAGGTGTCTGACTCTGACAAAAATTAATAATAAATATCTTAACTTATAATAAGTAACTGTTTTTCAAAAAGGGCCTTCATTTTTTTTGTAGGTTCACTACTCACACAGTGGAAGCTGTAAAAGCAAGAGAAAGGGCACGAGAGCTTAAAAAGGGCAGGGATGAACAACAACACCAGGCAAAACAACATCAAGATCAGTTGAAAGCAGCCAACGAACAATTGACTACCATACTTACCAAAATACATAATTTGAAAGGGCCTTTCCACAGGAGATTGGATAGTGTACTAGAAAGGATGAATTTAAAGAGGCAAGTGTATCACAAAGGGGCTCTGGTTGGTAATGATGTTGCCAAAATTCTCCACCCTGAAAACGTAGGAAAAATTGTAAATTGTTTCAAACCACTCAGAGTGAATCTTCAAAATGGAGAACATAAAGTTTTCAGTGATCAAAGTAGTATGAACAAGGTGTCAACATTATTGACAAAACTTTCACAATGTTTCCAGCTGTACTCACCCAGTACTCCTCTCTGTCGCCATGAGGTAGCCTTCCTTGCAGTACGATGTGCTAGCTTTGGTCACTGGTTTCCTATAAACTTTCCAAACACCAACTTGCTTCAAAAGTTTCATGTGTTAACTTTCCATGTCCCTGAGAAAGCCATTTCCAAGCACACCGTGGGCATGGAAGCTGAACACTTCTCAGAAAGTATACACCCAGTGGTCAACAGGCTTGAAAGGACTTATGCAACTACACAGAATACATGTGATCGCTTGGCACTGGTAGTCAAGAGCCAGTGGATTCAAAGCAACTCCACTCTGACAAATTTCAGGAAACCTAAACACAGAAACAGATCAGATGCAATTGTA